AGCGGTTCTTTCCTTGTTCCAGCTGCAGGGGGAACGGGCCCCTCCCAACTGAAAAGCCACATAGGAGCAGGGGGGAAATCCAGGTTTTTAGCTCTACTGGATTGTCCCCCCCCCCTTCACTGCCTCTGTCCTCCCCAAGCGCACATACGAAGATTCGTCTGCTTGCAAAATTCACACCCTGCCTGTCGGCCCTCATCGGGGCCACCCAGGAGGCTAACAAATCGAAAACAGACATAATACGAGCCTGTCTTAAAAACCCATTAAAATCAAACAAGAAACACCCCCACATAATCAAAACAATAAGAACCAGGCTTTAACAAACATTTGTTTTCCCCTTGTCGTGTCGCAGCCAGATTACGGCGGCCCCCGTAGGGTTCTCAAGGCAAGAGATGCACGGGGATGTTTTGCCATTGCCTGCCTCCGCGTCACGACCCTGGTATTCCTTGGAGTTCTCCCATTCAAGTTATTATCTGGGAGTATTATTCAAGTATTATCCGATCCTTCTTAGCTTCTGAGAGCTGATGAGGTCAGGTTAGCCTAGGCCGTCCAGGTCAGAGCAGAAACTATCAGAGACGGTTTTGCCATCGCCTGCCCCTGCGTAGCGACCCCGGACTTCCTCGTTGGTCTCCCACCCGAGTACTATCCCAGGCTGACCCGGCTTAGCTTCCGAGCTGTGATGAGATCAGCCTAAGTTTGTTTGTCTGACAAAAGACAATCTTCTCAATTGACATCTTCCGCTTTTCTTGTTGCCAGGGGTCGTTTCGTAGAGAAAGAGGTGCCAGGAGCTCATTGGCATAACTCATTAGCATAACTCATGTGCATAGGCCACACCCCCTGACATCACCGGAAGTGTGTCAGAAGGCAACACCCACCGCTCGGACTCCACTGGACTGTTTTGGATTGCTAGCTGTTCGGGGGGATGTGGTACGTGCAGATCTGTCCTCACAGAGGAGGGAGAGCTTGTACCTGAATAAAACTTGGTCTTAGAGAAGAAGAAGAAGAGATTGGATTTCTACCCCGCCCTTCACTTGGAGTCTCAGAGCGGCTTACAAACTCCTTTCCCTTCCCCTCCCCACAACAGACACCCTGTGAGGTGGGTGGGGCTGAGAGAACTCTGACACAAACTGCTCTTTTTCAAGGACAGCTGTGCCAGAGCTTGTGACTGACCCAAGGTCACATCAGCAGGTGCAAGTAGAGGAGTGGGGAATCAAACCCGGTTCTCCCAGAATAGAGTCCGCACACTTAACCACTACACCAAACTGGCTCTTAAAGGTGCCACTGGACTGTTTTGGACTGGGGGCCGGGGGGAGCTCTGCAACTTACCTGGCTGCTTCTTGCGCTGACTGAGGGCTGCTGGGAGCAGTGAGTAGGGCTTGTTGCATGTGCCCGCCCCCTGGGCTCTTTACTGCCGGAGCTCCGCTCCTGTGCGCTCCTGCAGGAAATGACCCCTGCTTGTTGCTATCCTGACTCTGTTATTTGCCTCCAAACAGCTAACCTTCCATCATCGTTTTAAGGGCGTCTGGGTGCCGGGCAACTCGGTCAGTATGAGCCTTCAGATCCTGTAAATGTGAACTGTGACTGGCTACTGTATTAATGACTGTTGCCACCACCGAATGAGTTTCCACTGCAGCATTGTCTACAGGGCGATCAATTTGGTGTAGTGGTTAAGAGAGTGGACTCTAATCTGGGAGGACCAGGTTTCATTCCCCACGCCTCCACTTGCAACTGCTGAGTGACCCTGGGTCAGTCACAAGTTCTTTCAGAGCTGTTCTCTCGGGAGTAGTCCTCGAAAGAGCTCTCTCAGCCCCACCTAACCTCACAGGGTGTCTGTTGTGGGGAGGGGAAGGGAAAGGAGTTTGTAAGCCGCTCTGATACTCCGAGTGAAGGGCGGAGTATAAATCCAATCTCCTCTTCTTCAACCATCTGATGCTCTAACCAAGATTATTTTAGATTGTTTTAATTCTGCCATAACTATTTTAAGCCTATTTATCATATATTACAGTCACTACATTTGCTGAGTTGACTTGCATAACCTGCCCTCAGTCCGTTTGAGGGGAGGGAGGAATATAAATCAAGCACAATGCTCTACCATTTAGCCACAGCTAATGGTAGTTTAGAAAACTAGTAAAGGGCCAGAAGTTAAAAACACCAAAAGGTATAAACAAAAGTACACGTGCTTATTTCACAAACATGTAAAAAACCTCATAGGGGCCTAAATAAGGCCTCGTAAAATAATCAACGTGACAAGACGCACAAAAGTACCATCTCTGACCTGACGCATTTCAGCCCACGAAAACCTTCTTCAAAAGTCAAATCGTACAGAATACAACATGCAACAAAGCCATGGTTACACTTGTAAGGCAGTAAGCAACTGATATAGGGCCAAAAATGGAATGCTGTACAGAGAAATAACAGGAGCTTTGCTGCATTCTGTACTACTAGGAGTAAGGCCCGTTGTGGGAAGAAATACAACGAGCTCTAGAAGAAAGCTCCAGGTGAGTGTCCCGGCTGTGGCTGGTGGGGTGGCAGAGGGAAGGGGAAAATAAGAGGGAGGCAAGCCATGTTTATTTCCTTCTGCTTAGCTATAAGGCAGGGCTGTCTCCAGTCATTTTGCTGCCCCAAGTGGGTAGTATGGGAGGACAGCCTCATGGTAACAGGTATGGTTCCCTCCACCCCTGACTTATGTTGATTTGGGGCTGTGCAGTGGCAGCTAAGGTAGAAAAGCACCTCCTCCTATGCCATGTTCCAAGGGTTTGGAAAGCGGTTCCATAGCCAATTACACGGTTGCCAACTCTGGGTTGGGATATACCTGTAGATTTGAGGGGTAGAACCTGGGGAGGGCAGGGTTTGGGGTGGGGAGGGACCTCAGCAGGGTATAATGCCATAAAGTCCACTGGCCAAAGCAGCCATTGTCTCCAGGAGAACTGACCTTGGCCATCTGGAGATCAGTTGTAATAGCTGGGAAATTTTCTGTAGGGGAAATGATGTGCTGTGGTTGGGGAACACAGTGATTTCTGGGAGATTTCCAGGCACCACAGGGAGATTGGCAACTCCAGTGACCGTTTAATGGAAGATTGGGATATGTATTTTACCTCAGGACACATTCAATGACTCTCAACAGCAACAGCAAACTGTTTAGAATGTTAGAGGCAAAGACCAATCAGGCCGCATATGCAAATAACCTCTGTGTTCTGACTGGCTATGGGGGGGGGGAAACAGCAAACTGTTTAGAATGTTGGAGGCGGGACTCAGGCAACGCAGCCAGTGGATAGGGACAGCTTCTGAGTGACACATCATGGAGCCAACTGATTTAGGAGCATGTGGAATATTTAGAAAGTGCCACCCCACTACTCAATTATATATAAGGAGAGATTTGACCTCTGAAGAGGGCTCTTGTGGGCCAAAACGTGTCTGGTCATATATGGCTCTTTGTTGTGCATTTGTCACTCTGATTATTTTAGGAGTCTTTATTTGGGCCCCTACAAGGTTTTTTATATGTTTCTGAAATAAACACGTGTACTCTTGTCTATACCTATTGATGGTTTTAACTTCTGGCCCTTTCTAGTTTTCTAAACTTCCTTTGGAGGTTTTTGCTTGGCCGGTTTAGTTTTTCTTCCCCTCTCTTCGTGGGGACACGAATAGTCCAACTGGCTGTGGGCCCGAAGCCAGATTCCCACAGGGTGCAGCGATTACGAGAAGGGGACAGGAAGGGGATTGGGGTTCCACCGGAGGGGCTACGAGGAGAACTGGACCAGTATTGGTGGGTCCTGGGCCTTGGCTATTGCGGAATCCACTGCGAAACCCACCCCACCCCACAGATGGGCAGCTTGACAGAGCTGAATCCAGCCAGGATGGCACAAGCAGCTCTGAGTCTAGTCGCAGTCAGCTTTTCCCGTCTTTATATAAAAAAACCCCAAACATCCGCTGTCTGGATACGGATGGCAAAATACCCGATAACGGTCTGTGCCGTACACTTTGAGGGCGGGCACCTACCTGGATCTGCTTCAGCAGTTTGGGAATCTGTTTGCAGTTCAGCTTCTGACAGGCTTGCTTGTAGGCAGTGAGAATTTCTTCCACGGTTACATTCTGAGCTGAAAGACACGAATTGGGGGGGGGGGGAGAGAACAGAGAGAGGTGATCTATTTGAAGTGGGCAGTCTGCACGGGCGTAAGAGATTCACTGCCTGAGAGGCCGAGCAGGATATAAATCAAGTAAGTGAATCAAATCATAAAGAGAGGAAGCTGTCAAAAGCCAGATTGCAGCTGCCGGTCGTCTGAGGCGATTAGGAACTGCGCCTGGGCGACCAGATAACAGCACTCCATCTCCTTCCGCTCTAAGAGCCAATAATCCTTTACGGTACCCAGGCAGAGAGGCGTGGGTCTAAAATACACACAAACACACATATAAGGGAGGGGACATTGGTCCCCGAGTTTCCCTCTCCTCCGGCAAAAGACGTGTTTTCCGTTCCCCCCCACCACCACCCCTTTTGGAAGAAGACTAAAAACTTTGTAGGCTTAGAGCGATTTCCACGAAACACACCAGGAAACCCTCTGACTGTGAAATAACGTCTGGAGAATCTAATGTTAAGAAAAAGAGCAAGATTTGAAGACGGTCACAGAATCGTAGAGTTGGACGGGACCTCCAGTGGTCATCTAGTCCAATCCCCTACACAATGCAGGAAATTCACAAATACCTTCCCCCACACAAACTCCCAGTGACCACTGTTCCACGCCAAGAAGATTACAAAAAAACCCCTCCAGAATCCCCGGGCAAACTGGCCTGGAGAAAATTTGCTTCCTGACCCCAAAGTGGCAATCTACATTTCCCTGGGCGGGCAAGAAAGGGCCGTGAGAACTAAACACTGAGGCAACCCTTCCTGCCCTCCCTCTCGTGATATGCCTAAGTTCACAGAATCAGCATTGCCGTCAGATGGCCATCTAGCCTCTGTCTGAAAACCTCCCAAGAAGGAGCGCCCCCCCCACCTCCCGAGGAAGCCTGTTCCACTGAGAAACAGCCCTAACGGTCACGGAGTTCTTCCTAATGTTTCGCCGAAAACTCATCTGAGTTAATTTCAACCCGTTGGTTCTGGTCCGATCTTCTGAGAGGGAGGGGATGAAGGAAGAACAGCAGGAAAAAGAAGAGAAAGAGGAAACTGCTGAAGGAGGGGGGGGGGACAGGGACCTTCACTCGGTCGAAGTCAAGCCAGGGTCCCCGGCCTCCCCTCCCCTTTTCCTTCCCGTCCAAAACACCTGCACACAAGGGAAGAGGGGAGACAGATATTCCGTATCCCGCTGGGGCCCGTATCCAGGTCTCGGGACTTCCACAACCCTCTCCAGAAGGAGGTGGCTTTTACCAGTATTAGCAGTCGTCACCTAAGGGGATGACGCAACAGGATCCTGCAGTCCAGACTGCAATGTTCCCTCTAAGCTGTGGAGTCCTGTGAGCAAAAATTCAACTTTGTGAGCTGCTGGCATCCAAGTTGTGAGCGAGCCGTTTGGCTGCTGCATCAACGAGTTTGCTCTAGAACCCATCCCTTCCTGAGCTAAGACAAGAAAGTGTGAGCCGGAGGCTAAAAAACCGTGAGCCAGCTCACAGTAACTCGGCTTAGAGGGAACACTGGGCCCCCAAACCTTTGAATGCCAGTGGGCGCTTTTGGGATTCCGCCACAGGGCAGTGGGCGCAGCTACAAAATGGCTACCGCAGGAGGCGGAGCCAACCCCAAAATCGCCGCAGGAGGCGGAGCCACACGCAGAGGAATCATAGAACCACAGAGTTGGACAGGACCTCCAGAGTCATCAAGTCCAGCCCCCTGACACAAGGCAGGACATTCACAAATACCTCCCCCCACACACCCCCAGTGACCCCTGCGCCACACCCAGAAGATAGCAAATACCTCCAGGATCCCCGGACAAACTGGCCTGGAGACAAAATGGCTTCTTGACCCCAAAGTGGCGATGGGCATTTCCCTGGGCGAGTAAGGAAGGGCCACGAGAACTAAGCGCTGAGGCAACCCTACCTGCCCTCCCTCTCGTGATCTGCCTAAGTTTCACTTGGAAGTCTAAGTGCAGGGGGTGACAAGTGACTAAGGAAGAAGTGTCTAAGGAAGTGACTAAGGAAGAAGTCTAAGACAAGTGACTAAGGAAGAAGTGACTAAGGAAGAAGCAAATTTTTAAAAACGCACTGGGGAGGAGGAGGAGGAGGAGGAAGAAAAAGAGGAGGACGAAAAAGAGGAGGACGAAAAAGAGGAGGAGGAGGAGATTGGATGTATACCCCGCCATTCACTACCCAAAGGTGTCTGCTTACAAACTCCTTTCTCTTCCCCTCCCCACAACAGACGCCCTGTGAGGTGGGTGGGGCTGAGAGAGCTCTGACAGAAACGGCTCTTTTTTCAAGGACAGCTCTTATCAGAGCTACGGCTTGCCCAAGGTCATCCAGCCAGGTGCAAGTGGAGGAGTGGGGAATCAAACCCGGTTCTCCCAGATTAGAGTCCGTGCACTTAACCACTACACCAAACTGGCGGAGGAGGAGGAGGAGGAGGAGGAGGAGGA